AGATACTGCTCCCATTTCTGAACTGCAAAAACTATAGCTAATAGTTCTTTTTCATACACTGAAAGCTTCTGCCATCTTGGACCCAGAGCCCTGCTGATGAATGCAATAGGGTGATTATCTTGAGTCAAAACTGCCCCAATGCAAGAAGATGATGCATCAGTCTCAACCACATAAGGCTTTGAGAAGTTTGGGACTTCCAGCACAGGAGCAGAACATAAAGCAGCCTTGAGTTCTCCAAGGCAGCCTGAGCAGTCTCACTCCATTTGAATGCCCCTTTCTTCAATAATTCAGTTAAGGGTTTGCTTAAGGTGGCATATCCCTTAACAAATCTCCGGTAATAGCCTGTAAGGCCTAGAAAGCTTCTTAAGTATTTAACAGATGCAGGAACAGGCTAAGATCTGATCACATCAATTTTACTGGGGTCAGTTTCAACACCTTGACCAGAAATGAAATGACCCAAGTATTCCACCCTTGGAGTGACAAAGGAGCATTTTCTAAGCTTAGCAAAGAGAGAGTGTGCTTTCATAGTGTCAAAGACAGTAGTAAGGTGTAACCAATGCTCTTCCAGGCTAGCACTATAGATGAGGATATCATCAAAGAAAACTAGGACAAATTTTCTAAGGAATGGCTTAAAAACCGAATTCATCCAGCTTTGAAATGTGGATGGGGCATTAGTAAGGCCAAATGGCATTACTAGAAATTCATAGTGCCCCTCATGGGTTTTGAAAGCAGTCTTAAACACATCATTTGGGTGGACTCTAAGTTGGTGGTAACCAGCTCTTAGGTCCAGTTTGCTAAATACAGTTGCCCCAACCAATTCATCAATCAATTCCTCCAACAAAGGAAGGGGGAATTTGTTCTTAATTGTTCATTTGTTTAATTCCCTGTAATCCACACATAACCTCCATAAGTTGTCCTTTTTACCAACCAAAACAACAGGGGATGCAAAGGGGCTAGTGCTGTTTTGAATAATGCATGTATCAAGCATTTCTTGAACTAATTGTTCAATGATATCCTTCTATTTTAGAGGGTATCTATATGGTCGAATGTTAACAGCTCCACTGCCTTGCTCAAGATGAATTTTATGGTCAAAGAGATCCCTGCTAAGGGGTAGGTCAGTAGGTTCTTCAAAGAGGCAGGCATATTGTTGCTTTAATTGGGTTAACTCAAGTGGCTCAACCACAGGACTAGACACCTGAAAGAGGCTAGCAGGGGCTGGTTCGTGGGCAGAAGATAACTGGATTAGACAAATTTGGGCTGCTGTTTGAAGGAATTTAGCTGAAGGGTTGTTTGCACACACTTTCAATTTATGGTTTGGCACTCCTTTCAACTTAACCCAAGCATCATTAACACAAAACTTCATAGTCAATTGCTTGAAGTTCCACGAAATAGACCCCAAGGTGCTTAACCACTGAATTCCCAATACCATGTCACAACTACCTAAGGGTATAAGCATTACATTGGCCATAAAAGTATGCCCTCCCAAACTTTAAGAAAAGTTTCTACACATTGAGGTGCAAACCAAATGATCACCATCAGCCACCGTGACTGATTGGCCAGGTATATTCTCCACCAAACACCCTAAATCCAAAGCCAAATGACAGTCAAGGAAGTTGTGAGTGCTTCCTGAATCAATTAGAGTCTGTAATTGCTTCCCATGAACAATTGTTTGGACTCTCATGGTGTGAAAACTTTAATTTCCTGTTAGAGCATTCACAAAGATATGGGGTTCATTTTCCAAAGCATAATCTGTCTCAAGTTCACTGCTCTTATCAGTGTGGTCAAGGTCTAAGTCTGAACAAGGGATCTCAACTGTGAATAATTGTGGCTCTTTGAATTGACATTGATGGGACCTAGTATAGGGAGAGTCACAGTAGCAGCAGAGGCCTTTGGCCATTTTCTCAGCTCTAACGTCAGCAGATATGAACCGTGGTTTTTGCAGGGCCTTAAAAGGGGTAATAGATGAGGTTTGTGTTTTGGAATTTTATGGGTAAGTGAGCAGTGGTTTAGTGTGAGGATTGGGTAATAAGGGAGGTTTAGAGGAATTGGGTGAGGTAAGGTTGTGGTACTGTTTAGAAGAGAATTGTTTTATAGAGGTAGGTTTGTTTAGATTGATAGATTCATCCTGTAATCTAGCATATTCCACTGCCTCATTGATGGTCTGAGGTTTGAATGCCCTTACAAATGGCCTAATTCCTGGTTTGAGTCCTCCAATGAAACTCTCAAGCACATATTTATTAGGCAACACATAATTATATTGCAGCATTATGGATTTTAGATTCTCAAAACTGTCCACATAAGATTCAACACTATCAACCTGCTCAAGTTTATTGAATTCTTCTACCACATTTAAGCATGTTTCATCCTTGAACCTTATGTTAACATCTGTCACAAAATCATTCCAATCAACCACAGACCTACCAGATAAGTAGCTAGCTACCCATGCTTCTGCTTTCCCAGTCATGTTAAGAGAAGCTAAGTCTACTTTTTGATCATCAGATATCTTACACAGAGAGAAGTATTTGCCACATTTTTTAATCCACATTTTAGGACATGTACCATCAAATTTAGGAAACTCTAATTTAGGAGTATACCCCATTTTTGGCTGATGAGCACGATCCTCCAATCTGGAAGCAGGCAGACTGTCCTTCATGGATTGCATCATCATTTTGAGCTCCTCAAACTTCTGAGCTGAAGCTATGGACTGAGCCTCTAGCTTGGACTCCAAGGCTGCTACTTGTTCTTCCATTCTGTTGACGCGTACAGTAACTGTAGGTGCCAGCCTTGATAATCAGAGTAAGGCAGAGGGCGGCTCTGATACCAATGATAAAGAATGAAGAATAGAGAATAAGAAGGGGGAGAGAAAGAGAGAGATAGGGGGAATCTGGTATTTGTATTTTCATGTCGTAATCTGTATTTAGAAGCAGATTATTTATAGCCTAACAAACCTCTTGACAACTGACAACTAGCATGATTATTCCCTAAGCATAACAGAATTATTCCCTCAAATCTGCCAGCTAATTACAAGGCTAACAACCTTGCTAAAAGACAAAAACAGAAGTAAAACAGAATTAAATGGCTACTGACTGCCTTCTTGATACTAAATTATGATTATACCCTTGCTAAAGATATACTCCCATATCACTACCACACCCCATTCTCACTTAATTAACCACAACTACCGCTAAATTTTAATGACGTAAAATAAACTCCTTATCACACCTCTCCATCTCCCTCTCCCTCTCTCTCAATAGCTACAACTTCCTCCTTTGTTTGATGCTTAATAATGAACTCAAGCTCATACTCAACAAACCCACGCTCTATAAGGCCTACATGCTTCGTACTGAACCATTAGCTAGGTAGGTTGGTCCCAAGTCCCAGCCAATGTTTGCCTTATTCGGGGCCACCGGGCTCATCGGTCCTAGACACTGTTCACCTTAGCCAATCACATGTGCTATATTCCCCACAGACCTTCCTATGTCCAAGACTACACCCATATTTCATAACCATAAGGTCACCTCTAGTCAACCACCAACCCTTGAATTTCTAGTGAATACTTGCCCCTAAAGAGCTTGAGTGAGAACCTTAGCCAATCACCTGAAATCCTTGAGTGAGCACTTGCCCCTAAAGAGCTAAATTTTGTTTTAGCTAAAAATTTCTAGTGAATACCAAAGTGACGGTAACACAATTATAGGCTCTCAAGACCCATACCCTGAACACAACCTCGACCCTATAGCCTTCCATGATCTATTGGGGCCCCAATGAGTCCCCACAACCAATATTATAGGTAATGGAGTTTTGCCCACACAAATACTCTGAGGTTCTTTTGGTGCTCGCATGTGTGCTCTCGCCACAAGGCCAAGGCTTAGTTGGCTAAGCACCAAGGTATAAGCATATGGGCTCGTTCTCTTTGATCCAAGCCTCTGTCGCTTGTGCAGGCTTGCGGAATCTCGAAAGGCTTCACGCCAATGCGGGATGGTCGACACTCGCGACCAAAGTGGCAGTGACATATGTTCATCTTGCAAAATCCAAGCACAAGCCCATCCTTACTACAACATCGCCTTACCTTGGGCATGGAAACAAGGACTTCAACCTTTTTATATTTACAAATGCTGAGGAGCTAGGGTACTTATATCACTTATGAAAACTAAAGGATATTGTCTGTAGCTTTCAAAAATAATAGGTACACCTAGAAAAACCCAATAACACAAGAGCAATATATAGATAACTCAATATTTTACGCCCTCCATTTTATATTAGTTGACACATTTTATTCAAGCACATTCTTCAACGCATGCTTTTAGATGTAAATATCTTTAATTTATTAACAAAAGTTATACGGTAAAATTTTGATATTTGGAAAATAAACAATAAAACGAATCTTGCAAGATCCAATATGACTACGTTTTTGAACACTAAATCTTAAAATGAAATCTAAGTTATGCACAAATTCAAAACGCATGTTAAAAAAAATAATAAAAAAATAAAATAAAGTATTAGTTTAGGAAATATAATTAACAATACCCCTTGAGGAAAACAACACTTTTTGGTAGTGCAAAACGAGTAAATACAAGTTTTTCTTTTGATTAACAAGAGTTGTATCCCAAGAGGGTATATTCGTAATTTCAACCAATTAGGGATAATATTGTGATTTCCCTAAGAAAATGAAGATATGGAGAAGAAGGCTAGAGCTTTACACCGACTTTAATGGAGGATGAACAGCTTCAATGGAGTAGTAGAAGCTGGCTGAGAGGATGACATCCCTTTCTTTTGGGGTTAACCATACCCTTATTTCTCTAATTTGTTTTTCTTAGGAATTCGTTCCTTCGTCGCCGGAAATATGGTGGCGAAAAGAAGGTTAGCGATCTACTTCAATGGAAGATGAAAGTATGAGCAAATGGTGGAGGAAACCAGCTTCAATGGTGATTCGCAACAAGGATGGAGGAGGAAAAGAAGAATACAGAAAAAAGTAAAAGTACAGCAAAAAAAAATATAAAATATTAACATAATTGGTTATATTTACTATTGTGCCATTTTGAGAAACAATATTGTTTCTCAATAAGAGAAAATGGGCCGGCCCGTGCAAAACCACACCAAACTATACCGCAAACAGCAATTGTGAAATAGCCAAAAGACCAAAAAAAAACCACTATTATTCAAACACAATAAAACTTCTGCCGAATTCCACACGATCTATCAAAAGTTTTACAATAACCACCAATTCTATCCAATAAATCACAAATTGAGAATCTAACAATACACACAAGAATAAATTTTTCAATGGTTTAAGCCACAATGAGATATGCTAAGATTTCATATGAAGGTGACAAATGAGTGAACTGATCACCAGAATAATCCCCCTGCTATTTACAAGAGATTTGCGGGGTAATTTATTCTTCCTCAGCAGCGACAGCAAAATGACCCGCCTTCCTATCCTGAAAGATACTTAGCTTTGTAAGCTAATAGGCTATTGAGCTATTTTTAAATCATAAGCAAGTGCGTTGAGAAGATATATTATACCTGTAACATCATCCGCTGCTTATTCATATACTGTGTTCGTGCTTTGGCAAGTGCAGAATTTGGTGACTTGTACAATCTCTGTCAAAACAAATCACGTAAGAAGAACATCAATCATCTGATTGCAGCATCTTAACCAGAGGACTAAAAGATACTATCTCATATCTAATATACATACATACTCCCCCAGTCCCCCTCCTTGCTAGCTCATAACATTTTAGTGATCCCTCAGTGTAATCCACTGTGTTACTGATTATCATAAGAATTACTATATGGCCTGGTCGTTACAATTGCAAGTGCTAAGTTACCAGGTTCATCTTAAGCAAAAAAGAAGTACAAAAAATAGTTTCCAGTGGTCAGTTTATGAAGTAACATGATTATGTGTATTCATAATTTTACATTCAACAGGCTAAACCCACCAAACACCTTGCAGATAAATTTGGCTCCTTGATCTGTTCTTTTCACCTACATCAATGAGTTAAGTTGATTTATGGCTACAAAATTAAAGCTCTGTATGTAATAAGTAATTAGCCAAGGACCTTGAGTTGGTGGGGAACTCACCTTGTGACTTTGAGGTCACAAGTTCGAGCCCCATTAACTACAAAATGCTTGGGAGTAGGGGGATTTCCTTACCTCCCCCCTCTACTCTCAAGCGTCGACCTGCGGAGCTGGCTGGCTAAACCTATGATAGGTGCCGCTTTAGTAGGGTCTTTCATCTTAACTTTAAAATAAAAAAAATATATATATATAAAAAAAAAGGACCAAGTACATGGGACTAATCAAAACCAGACATTTCCACCTAAGCTATATTAGGTAGAATCGGTGAACCAACGGAGCGTTTTTTCCATCTCATTATTTTGGATGTCGAGTGCCCTTCCCGGTTCACCGGGCTGTTAGCCTACCCAAGTCAACTACAGCAAGGCAATGGTGATCAAAACTCTGTGAAAAGAGAAAGGGGTTGGAAGCAAACAGCTGCTCCTTGAAGCTACAGCCATAAGTCCATAACTATATGACAGCCTTTTGATTCCTACTCCCTCCGTCTCATAATACAATGCATCTTTGGGTTTTTGTGCGGGAATTAAGAATGTTGTAAATTCCTTAAAACTAATTATTAGAAGTACATGTGTGCATGTGGGGTTAGAGAGAGAGAGAAAGAAAAAATAGTGGGAAATAATTGTAGAGATAGAGAGAGAAAGTGTTGAAAATTTATTTTTAAGTACAAAAAAGAAAAGGAAAAAAGATGACAACTCATCAAAAAGAGGGTAATAATGTCAAAAAGTACAACCCTTTAAATAGAATGAGGCATTGTACTTGGTTTACCCAAAAAGGAAAAGAGGCATTGTATTATGAGACGGAGGAGTACTATTTTCATTGGATGTACTTAGGCTAGTTAATTTTGCTGCAATGGGTGTACTTTAGGTTAGTTAATTTTGTTGCAATGGGTGTACATTAGTTAGTTAATAATTTGTTGCATTGGGTGTACTTTAGGCTAGTTAATTTTGTTGCATGGGGTGTACTTTAGACGAGTTAAATTTATTGCATTGATTGTACTTCAAGCTAGTTAATTCTGTTTCATTTGGGTGGACTTTAAGCTAGTTAGTTATCTTTCATTGGATGTATAATAGGCTAGTTGTTTCCTCAGGAATTTCTTAGCCCAGGCAATCACGACCAACAAAGAACCTACTGCTTAAAGGTTAAGTATATATTGGCATGTAGATGCATGAGTTTTAAGGCATAGCAAGTATCGGATTCTTTTTATATATCCCAGATTCTGTTTTTTATGTTTGGGTTAGTGGAATGACCTTTGCTTTTAAGGCATGCACTGAGCTATTTAAGCATGATGTATGATGCCTTAAAAGTGTAACAACAAAAACTTTTCCAACAAGTTTAAGTTGTTCGGGTTAGATAAGCTGCAATAATTAATGACAGACGCAAGTCTAGGTTGTTAACAACTTAAAATTAAGGAGTTCCACACGCTCAACTACTTTCTTGCCTTATTTTAACAAAGCTTTGTCATTGCAGTGAAGACCAATGAAAGAGGGAGAATACGCATAAAGCGTAATTGCAAAATTCATTTTGAGAAAGAAAAAGATTTTTCTTGCAATAAAACTGATTAGGGATATATTTTTCTTTTGTCTTGTTTTTAGGAATATCTCTCCAAAAATAGTCAAGTTATTCAATTCTTCTAAAGTGTCAACTGCTAAATCAAAGCCAATTACCACAAAAGGCATCATTAAATTCTCAGCCAGAAAAAGGCAGTAATTGACTAACCTTCTCATTTAATTTATCCATTGAATAATCTTCGCTGCCCAAAATCTTTTTCTTTGGCGTAAATCCAAAGACATCATGCAAAAATCCATTTTCCTACAAAGTTGGATACGTACGGTATATTAAATAGAAACAGCACATACTAAAAACTTAAAGCAAGATATAATACAAACAAAAGTGGTACACTGGCAATGAAGAGACCTACCAACATATGCTTTACAAATCCTCCACGAAGGAAATGTTTGAGAAAGTTTAACTGCAAAGAGCCACAAACAAAAAGTAAGAATTGTTAAGAAATAGAATTATAAAATACAGAAGCAATACAGTATCAAAACTGAGAGCAGAAAGGCACACCTGAATAAGCTCTGACCATGATGATGTGGTTAAAGTCTCACCACCAATCTTTGTTGAGGATTCAGGAGAATAACCATCCTAAAAAAACAAGGTACCAAGTCAGCATTAGTAAATAATGTACAAAACACATGCCGGGAAAAAAAAAAGTGCAAATGAAGATGTACCTCCAAAAAATCCAAAAGATCGCGGAACAAGTTCCTTTGGTTATTAAGATCTTTCTTAGCTGCTCCTTTGCCACCAGCCTCAGAAGCAAGATCTCGTACTTGATTCAAGACTTTGCCTTTCAATCCTTTTAAGTGTATATAGCCTTCTTTAATAGCATTCTCCGTGTCTCCACTGGAACCATTTTTTTCACCAGAATAACTTTCAAAATCTCCGACATCAAATATCACAGCCAGTGCTTCACCAGCTGCAATGCGTACAGCACGATCATCCTTATCCAACAGAGTAGACAAATAAGAAATGGACCTGCATTTGTTTTAATAAATAGATTAGGCCGAAAGCTTACTTCAAGTATGCTAAATAATAAATATAAGACTCCGTATAATTAGTGTGACATGATGCGGTCAAATTTCCTACATCTCCCTTCTATATCACCCTTCAAACCAATTAACCACACAATAATACCACATTTACCATCTTCTGTGTAAAAACCTTCTACATAACTCAGCATTTACCATCAAAACCAAAACTGTATTAATAAAAGCTAAGAAGACCAACTTTTTTAAACCCACTACACCACATAGCTCCTGTACAAAATCCTTTCATCTCCTTCCTTGATAAAGATTACCACCATCATTTTATATAACATGAACACATCAAGCCATTTCAATTTCTTTTCTGATAGTACATACAGAAACTCTAATGTCATAACTCCTTCCCTTTAATGTAAAGGACATAAACAAGACTTGGTACTAATCAAGATTCAAATGCATAAGCATCATTATATAGAACTTATAAACAACAAAAAAGCATTAACATACTCTTGCCAATCCTTCAAGCTTAGACTCCATGAATTAATTGTAGTGAGGAGAAATGACCACGCTGATACTGTTGCTACGATGACAGCTGGTGAAGCTTTAGTTGCCACTACCTGCAGAGTGAATATGCATTTGTTAATTACCAATTCCCAATCCCCAAAAGAATTGAAAATCCTTTGTATGGACTTCATGTGTCTTAACAGTTATGAGTGATGATGAAGGGCCCATTTGTTATCATCTGTTGTTCGCAGTTTTCTGTTATTTAGAAAACTCAGAAAAAAACTGGAAACTACAAAAAGTGGCTTCCAGTTTTTTGTTGTCAATTTCAAAAATCAGCATGATTAAAGTAGGCATAACTAAATTTTATTTCATGATTCTATTTAAATCTTATGACTTTCAAAATCACAAAACCAATAATTGAAAATGGAAAGTGATGCCAAATGAGCCATGAATAATAAAAATCAGTTGTGGCTTTCCATTCAACTTATAAATTTATATCAAGTGAAAATATAAACTCCAGCTTGTTTTTTTTTCTTTTTTTTTTTTAAACTCCAGCTTAATAAGGTACGGTTGCAGCCAATTTGACCACCAAGAAATTAGTATAAGCAGGATCCATACAACATTAATAGGTAAAATATAGCTCGTATACAATAAACATTAATACAAGTTATTTCCATCAAGCGAAGAACTTTGCATTTGCACATACATTAGTACTCGATTTGGGATGAACAACTTGCCACATTATCTGCATTGACCGCTCTGTTTCCTCAGGCTCTTCCCCACCAATAAAGGTGATAACAGCCAAACAATCTACCAACTTCATAACAAAATCAAAACAGAAAAAGCATCAATATTTTAAAACTATACGTATGAAGCACCACACAAGGTATAGAGTCAATAATTAAACTCACCGCTGCAACTTTTGATGATTCAGCTCTTGACCTGAGAGCCTGAGATATTGTAGGGATTGATTCCTCCAGTATTTCTCGTGCATTATTCCCTAGGCCAGTTGTCAATGCCAATAGACCTATACAATGTCTATAGTTTAGCAATTCATATTTAACTTGAATAACTTTAAAAAATAATAGGCAAGACGAGAGGCCTAACCAATAGCCTGAGACGCCGAAATTGTCTCCTTCCCAGAGCCCTTTTTAATAGAATTCAGGCACTGATGAAGCAGAGTCGCAAATCTGAAGAGACAAACAAATAAAATAAATAAATAAATAAAAACATTAAGATGCAAGCAAAAGCCATAAGAAATCCGTCAGATAATAATTACTCCCATCATTTCACTATAGCAGTCATTGCGGAAGTGAAGAGTAATAGAAGATTATCCATACTACACAGACAACTATACTACACCCAACTATTTTATTTCAGATACCCCTTGCTAAAAAAGGTAACAATAAGGATAAGGGAGCTATCCTGTATAACATAATGAAATCTAGTACGAAGACTACAAAATATAATAACATTTCCTTCAAAGATGTTAACTTAAGATCAAATAACGGCGCCAAAACATCAATTGTGATAAGTTCAACAGATTCTCTATTTATTGATTCGTCCCCAATACTTCCACTAATATTGAAAAAGGAGCAAACCTACATATATTAACACATCAAAAATTATTTAACTGACTAATTGCTTTAGCATGATGATTGAGAGAGAAAAAAAAAAAGAGCAGAAAGCCAGAAGGCAAAGATACACATAGTGAGATTAATAAAAAAAAAATTTAACAAAAAATCCTTACTTCTTTTCGACGAATTCATGCTGTAAGTTTTGACTAAACGCTTCAATAATAGATTCCAAAGCCTTCTCTCTTGTTGAACCCCTTGAACAATTCAAATACAAAAAGAAGCTCAATGTAAGGTGGTGAATCGATCATCCCAATTCTCACTATAAGTAACTATTTGCAAAACAAAGAGTAATCAAAATCTCAATTAACTTAACAAGGAGCTACCTTTTCTCAAACAAAGCATCAAGACATTGATCCAATAAGCTATCCTTTTCTACCTCCGCACCAACCCCAACTGAAACAAGATCAGAACGGACCGAAGACGACGAGCTTACACTATCTGTATCGTCGCTATCCAGCATTGCTGCTGCGTTCTTACGATTTGAATTGCCTATTGGAATTCAATTCAACGAAATTACGCCCAAATAATTAAAAAAAAAAAAAAATAGCACCAATTTAAAGTCACAACGATTAAAACTCACTAATTTAAAATCCTACATAATCAGAAATTAAGTAACAACCGATAAAAAACATTTATTCACCAAATTGGAATCACTATTCATTAAAGCAAACTAATTCAAAATCCCACAAACTAAATCAACAGAATTTGAACACCAACTAATAAAATCAGGATAACAACTGGTAATAAAATCAACCAAAATATAACCTAAAATTAGGCTAATCATATAATCAATTAAATTTGAGAGCAAAATAGAAAAAAGAGAACTTACGCTTTCCCATTGAAACAGGAAAAAATCTAACGACGGCGGCAGCGGAGGGAGAGTTAGAGTGTCAGAAACAAGTACAAGAAAGCTGATCTAAATTGATAGAAGAAGACTTAAACAACGACGGATAATTGATTGAATGCGACCAACTCAAAATTGAAGAACAAATCATAGACGATGATTCTTCAGAACACGAAATAGCCATTAAAATTATGAAGTATTATTAAAAAAAAAATTAAAGGACAAATTTTTACGGGTATTTGAAGGGAGAAGAGAAGAAGAAGTTGTGTGAAAGAAATAGAGGCGGAGAAGTCTGGACTTGGAATTGCAATGGAGGTTTTTTTTTATATATATTTTTTATTTTATTACTGTGAGGAGTTTATTCAGCGATGGTGGGATGGAATATGCGACAAGGGCAGAGAGAGTAATTTTGCAAAAGGATCAAATATTGTCACGCGGCAGATTTGCGGACACAAATTTGGTAAGGGTTTTTAAATCAATACTCCCTCTGTTTTGATAAACTCAATAGTGTGCTCATGACAATGTATTAATTTGATTTTATTTTTATATAATTAAATATTAGTGAAAATTATTTCAAAAATTATATTATAAAACTTTATATTAACTAGTTCTTTGCCCGAGCAACACTCGGATATTTACAGAAAAAAAAAATTTATATTTATATATTACTATAAGTTTGCATTTGTTTATAGATTATGTATATATTTAATATTTTATTTTCCCCTTGAAAAAGAGTATTTTATTTTTTTTAGAGTTGTTATTATTCTATTACTAGATGGAAGCCCGTGCGATGCACGTTTTTTTCATCTATTTTTAATTATTTGATTTATTGTATTTAATAATTTCAGACAACAAAAGTTTAATATTAATTTTTTTTTACTATAATTTATAATGAATTTATTAAATATAAATAAGTTGTAAATATGATATTTTTTCCGTTATATAAAATCTTTAATGTGAAATGATAAATTTTCATAATTTAAATCCTAAATCATTATTCATTGTTTTACCATATCTTTTATTTCGATAGAATCATCAACCTCGTCCACAACGAACCTGCTACATCAATAAATAAAATTGTTAGCCAAACTGAAATTGATATAAATTAAATCTTTACATTTATATAAAATAAATCAATATATTTACCAATAAATGAAAAATTGTTGCGATATAAAATCAAATCTATGCATTTGAATTTTTCCATCATCTCTAAAAATAACCAAAGCCATCCATATATTAAGTATACAACATCTAATCGTATGTCATTACATAAACAAATAATTGTTAAGTATCCTAAATAAATACTGTTTCGGGGTTTTTTATTTATGTGTCCCGCGGGAGAGTTACTATTCCTAGTATGCGCAGTCCGACGTCTGTACCTGCAAAATCACGGAGACTCCGGCTGGGGGGTGGAGTTCCGCCTCCGACGATTAAGTTAGAATACGTCTAATGTAATAAGTGTGGAACAATAAATATTTCTCGCTGATTGGGAGAATTCTGCAATTATCTATTGCTCGGGGTTTGTGTTTCGATTTTTGTATATCCCCAATAAATGTGGTCTCCCCCACTATTTATAGTGGGGAACTTTATTTCCCAGTTTAGGGTTCAAAGGACACGTGTCGCAAAGGGATTGGAGCCTTTGCTGACCACTAAGGGGATGACACGTGTCAGGGGCCTATTGGGCCACGTGTCTAGGGTAATTTTTACCCTAAACATCTGCCCCTCACAGGTGGGACGTGGCATTGCCACGTGTCACCTGTGACAGGCGCCAGACGCTTGGGTAAGTGACGGTTGGTCTACTTTCCCGCACTTTTTTTTCTTCTGAATTTTGAATTCTTGGGCAGAATGCGTCTATTCACCTTCTGCTATTTTCCTATAAATAGGGAACAAACCCTCTTTCTTCAACACTTTACATAATTTTTCAAAAAAATTTCTTGAGAGCTCTGACCCCGGCTGACTCTTATTTCCAAGAAATTCTCTACATCCGGCTACCGGCTGGGCATCTCCTGGATCATCTTACCAAGGTACCGGATGACCCCTCTTTCTCTTTTATGCTTTGTAAACACCAACCGGTAAAACACCGCCTGGGGCACTTTATAGCAATGCTTTTCAAAAAAACAAACCCAACCGGTAAGGTACCGGCTGGGGTCCCTTCAGCTTGTTTTCCAAGTGATTCACTATACCCTCAGCCGGGGAAATTTCACCTGAATAATCTTGCATCTTAATTGCTTACTTTACTCTCAGCCGGTTATGCACCGCCTGGGGTATAGCTTAGACAATTTAAAATTTCTTTCCATAGACCCCCATCCGGTTTTGCACCGTCTGGGATACCTCTGAACAATTTATAAATGCCCTTTGAATAGATACACAGCCGGGTGTAGATCGCCTAGGGTATTTGAGAACAATTTTCTATTTTCTTTTTGTGGACCCTCATCCGGTTGTAGACCGCCTGGGGTAGTTCTGAACCCATCCACTGGATACCGTCTGGGGTATCTTGGAGTGGACTTCACAAATTGCCTGTTTTAACTTTCTAAACAACCACAGGCGGTTAATTCCGTCTGTGGTATTTTGAGTGAGTTTATAGAAAACCAGCTGATTTTTATCTTGTTTTTTTAGTTTTAAACACATCCGGGTTCTACCGTTTGAGGCATCTTCAAGCCACTTTCCAATTATGGTTGTTTTCATTAATTATACTTAAAGGTACAACTTTCATTTTTGTTGTTCTTTTAAACTTCCCATTTCCCGGTTGTGTATTTTGTATAGAGTAAATGGGGTCTTTCAAAACACACACGACACAGCCTACGACTGTGGTCAGCCGGTTACCTGAGACGGTTGAGTCTAGGACTGGGGATGCCGTCTGGGGGGTATTTGGATCACCCTTCATCTACCTCGAATCCGACCGTCTCTGTTCAGGTGCAGAACAGAATGGCTCGGACTAGATGGACGGCAACAGATCCCGACTATAAGTCTGATGACGCAGTCGCCGACCCGGTTGTACCCTTAAACGAAGACCAGGCTGAAGTACCGTCTGATAGAACATCTCATGATGCGTCGGGTGCCCCTAGTACCCCGGATGACAGCATCCTATATGATTCTGACTCAGCCGACGAGGAATCCGGCGAAGAGTCCATCTCTGAGTCTTCAGAGGCGGCCGCTCCCATTGATGAGGAAGCCTACAAGTGGCCGCCTGCAAACAACCCAACCGAGTTCAGCATGACCGCCAGGGATGTGGTCACTTTAAATGCCACATTCCCTGCTTTTTTGGAGAAGAAGCCGGTTGGGGAAGGATGGGAAATAGTAGTACCGCCTGTAGAGGCAACTGTTGTCTGGGAAGACGATATTGAGCATGCCGACAACTACTTCGGCTGCTATGAGGCGGCATTCAAAGCCGGCCTCCGATTCCCCCTCCACCATTGCATAAAAGCTATTTTGCGGGGGTATGATCTGGGTGTTTGGCAATTGACCCCCAACTCATGGGTCAACATTCTTGGATATATTGCCGCCTGCGAGATGAAGGAGGTTAAGCCCAGCTGGGAAGCTTTCGCACATATGCACTATCTCAGCCGGGCGCCGGGTGGATGGAATGTGTGGTATACTCTAACCACGCACCCGGAATACATGATGACTTTGGACAAACCGTCCAAATGGAGTAGTTGGAAGAGCAAATTTTACGCTGTTTCCTCACCAACTCCCTAACTAAACCGCCGGCTGCGTAGATATAATAAGAACCCGGCTCTTGGGAAGAAGTGTGCTCTCCCAAGAGTGCCGAGTGAAGCATGGGATCAGATCATGAAGAGGGGTCTCTTTAAAAAGACGACCCTCCGCCTGGATCATGGGAGTGAGATCATAGTTCCCCTATTCTGGGTGCCCCACCCGGACTGGTTCAAGGATGAGGCGTTTCTTTCCGCCTGTAACCTTAGCACCATGTTCACTAAGAGTAGGTTTTTTGAATTAACCGGCTTCTGCCGCCTGATATGGCTAACTTGTACTGTATTTAAACCAACTTCTTTTGTTTTTGCAGAAGTAGCTATGGAGAAGCTACCCAAAGAGAAAACTCCGGCTACATAAGCCGCTCAGCTCCGGAAGGAGAAAATTGAAAAGAAGAAGTCACAACTGGCGGCTAAGGATGGCGGGGTAACACATTTCTCAAACCCTTTTTGCCGGCTGTATCACTTGTATGTAAATTGGCCACTAACCGACTGTTTTTGTACATTTTCAGGCAGGGAACAAGACGGTTCCGCGTTCCCTGTCCAAAATGGTGAAAAGACCGGCTGGGGAGCTACCTTTTCCAGCTGCAAAGGTGCCAAGAATGCCGGCTCTTGCACTGGCTGCTGGTGCCTCTGCTAAACCGCCTGTTGGAGACAGGCCTACTTCTGTAGGCAAGAGCCTGCGAGGCATTGTCCCGACCTCTGAAATGGTGGTCGAGGAATTAAAGGAGCCGAAGACACCAGCTGGCCAGACCCAGACGGGCACTGGCTCCAATGCGGTTGGGGGTGATCTTACCCCACAGTCCGATAAAGGTACGACTTTCGCCTTTTATCCCCCCTGTCCGCTTGGGACTATGAGGGTCAAGACCCCAGCTTACCAATCCGAGGATTCTTCTGGCAGCCGTTTGAATATTGGCGCAGTGTATGCCCAACACCTGATAGATCAATCTCTAATTGCAGATGCTTCCTCTAGCTGGCCTAACTACCAGCAATATGCTTAGAGGATGATCCGGACCCTCACCCAGTTCGAGAAAGAGGCGATGTCGGCTGTGCACCAAGTGAACCTCGACCGCATCACTTCCCTTTTGGCTGAGGTAATTGACCGGTTGCATTATTTTTTGTAATTTCTTTGTTTTTCCGTTTGGGTTATTGAATTTTTTCTAACATTTCATGACCGGTTGACGTCTCAGGTGATGCTAAGAGTTGATGGGCTCCAAGTTCCCTTGCGCAAGAAGCAAGAGGAGGTAAGGGATGCCCAGAGACGGGCATCTGACCTCATTGATGTTTCCCAATTCAATGCCATTATATATGAAATGGAAACTAAACGGAGGGAGTTGAAACAGGAGGAGCTTTTCAAAGAAACGGTTGCTGCTGCTGAGGCGGCAAAATTGAAGGCGGATGAGCTGGCGCTTCAAGTCAAAGACCTCCAAGCTGATCTCAAGGCATTGGAGGGAGCTGACAAGGAGAACACCGACCTTCGCTTGGAGGTCAACCGGCTCAAAAATGAGCTTGCTTCCAACCAGGCGGCTTACAAAGAGGAGCTAGACAAGGAACAACGCCGTCTGATTGCTGAGAATGAGGCCGACTGCAAGGAGTGCATGAAGCTCGCCTGGGGGCTCATTCACCTGGACTTCGACTATGAATTCTTCGACCTTAGGTATAAGTATGCCTCAGAGGTACTTGGTCTAGACCTGCCTGCTCCTTTCGAAGAGTGGGCCGGACTGGTCGAAGAAGGGGACTAGCAAGAGGGTGAGCATCAGGCACAACCTCAAGAGCAGGCGGCTGGCAACCAAGAAGAGCCAGCTCAGGAGCAGCAGCAGC